TTAATTGACAATGGAGTAAGATTTGGATGGAAATTCGTTCTTTTTTTTTTTTTTTTGTAACTTTAATTTTTCGTAACGATTTCGAAAATATAACCGCGATCAGGTATAAGTTATGATATTTATGCAAATGAATCTATTATTTTCGTGATTAATCGATAATGAAAATTGGATAGAAATTCGTTTCGCCTTCATTCATTAACGATCTTTATCGGCTATATTATCTCTTCTTTCCCTTTAAATATCGCGCTAAAATGTGAATCGAATAAATTACAGTAATCCTATATTTTTTCCATCCTTCTTCCTCATCAATAGCTGCGCGATAGCTGATCGAACAATCGTCGATTAATTTCCATCCAAATCTTCGTCCGGGTTCGAAACGGCTTCGTAGCACTATTTCTTCTCGCGCGAGTTCCTTCCACGCGGGGGAAAATTCTGAATAACAGAAAGAGAGGAGGATACGAATTCCCGAAGAAAATGTCCTGCCCTTCGCCTGTTCGTCGCGAATTACCATTCCTCGACTCGCGTCACGATCGCGGAACAATTTACGATGCCTCTGTTCCTCCATGTTTCGAGAAAGGAGGAACACTCCTCCTCCGTGCCGCTACCACAGGGGATTCCCCCTTTTCCGAGGTTCGTTGAACCGAATATATATCCCGACCCCGAGATTTATCCCGTACGAATAAATTTCTTGCCCGCAACGCGGACAATGTTTTTCCACTCTTGGAGAGGAGAGGGGAGGAAATGAACAGATGATCGATGTCTAGGGCCAATTTTAATAGGATATATATTCGAAATATTCGAAGATTCGATACGCGATCGAATCTTTCGATAGTTCGTCGATTTTCTTTCTTTCCGCTTTCACGAATTGGACGAGAATCGCCGATTCTTCGGGTTCATCGCGATTAATATAGATTTTACTCGATGTTTCTCTCGCTTCTTTTTAAATGAAGCGAGTATCCTGTAAATGAAAGCGCGTTTCAAAGTATCATATCAAAGATACCTTCTGTTTGTTGCAATTGTCAACTGAATAGGTGTATAATTGAGTTCACGTTAGACAGAGAGAACAAACATCGTATTAGAAAGATTAAATTTAGAAGAGTTATCGAGGTGTCGATACGAATCTCTTCGCCGGATTCAAATTCTCTCTTTCTCGTTTCTTTTATGTGATTCGAAGGAGGGGGATCAAGAATGATAATAGACAATTATTCCATTTTCGAGATTACGAATAAAAATATACAACGATATCAAGAAGAAGAAGAAAAGAAATTACTAAAATTCGGTTAATCATCGATCGAATCGAATCGAATCGAATCGAATCGAATCGAATCGAATCGAATCATAGATACACACACAAACATATACACACTCTCTCACTCCATTCGAATAAAATAAAAGGCGAAAAAACGACACTGGAAGAAGAACGATCCGAATCCAGTACGGCGAACAGAGGTTGGAACGTTTAAATCGAGCGCAGGATGCCCCCTGGTCCCCTAATAAAAGCGGACCAGAAACGTGGCAATTTCACGCGTTAGCCTCGATTGACTCGGATCGTTTTCGTGATCACGAATCCGCTATAACCGGCCTGACACGTCTCCCCGTCTGATTTCACACATCGGGAACGTGGTTCGTCGTGTCCTTGTAATTTATCTTCCTCGAACTTTCTAGAAGAATTCACGGTACTAGTTCGTAATACGTGTAAAAGCAAGGAGAGGAGGGAGGGGTAAAAAAAAAAAAAAAAAAAAAAAAGAAGAGAAAAAAGAAAAAAGAAGAAAAGAAAGAAAGAAAGAAAGAAAGAAAGAAAGAAAGAAACGATAAAACGAGAGGCGACGAAAAGAGATTCCGTTCGAGTAGAAAGTTTGCCACGACGGGGAGGGCGACTTTATTTGCATAAGTGGACGGCAACGAAAGTGGAAACCGCCTTCCACCGCGCGCGATAGTACGAACGCGATACGCGAACCGGACGATTTTCAAGAAGAATATCCGATCTCGCCGATCTCGATCGCAGCTGAAGCAAAGCGTGACATAATCGAAGAGTTATGTCCGGGGGCTCGTTGGAAGAATTCACGATGGGCGGTCGGTCCGCGTCAGCTGGTTGAACCTTGCGGGAAATATCTGGCCGAATAGAAAGTTTCCACCGGCCCGTTCCGGCTTTCCGTAATCGTCCGAATCTCGAAGATTCTCCGGACGGAGGAACTCGGAGAGAGAACTCGCTGCCGTCCGTCGAGTTCGGGAGGGGGGTTTCGTTATCATCGGGAAAAGTTAATCTATCCATCCGTTGTGCGAGAAATTTTGGAGAAAGCGTAAAAATTCGAGAGGGAGAGAGAGAGAGAGAGAGAGAGAGAGGCGAGTAAGATCGATCGATCGATCACGAACGATCTTCCTTCTTTCGTCATAGAACGAGCGTGAATTCGAGTCGGGGAGTAAGTATGTCGGAGTGTGCGAGGGGAGGGGAGGAGGGGAGGGCGTTTGTTGGAAAGAATTCCGTGACACTTTAACTTTAAGAGGAGACGCGCGTTTTTTCCTCGATCCGTAAACTACTCTCGGATTGGAATTGTACGGTTTTTCGCGTGACGTCACGATTTCGTAGAAATCGACACGGCTTCAAATTTTATTACGCTCCGACTCTCCGATGAATATGCATGCGGAAGCACAGCGCGATTCGCGAGAAACAGGTTCGCGTTTCTGAAATCTGAACGCAAACTGAGAATGGAAATTCGTTTCTTCTTCTTCTTCTTCTTCTTCTTCTTCTTCGTTCGTTCGTTTCTTTCGATCGACCGATAAGTTTAAAAATGATCCAACTATGTTTTTCTCGTATCCCCCGTTTTTGTATAAATAATAGCAATTAAGGTAAAAAATTATCTCGCGATTTTTTTTCACGGGACACGGATCGATTTACTGTCCGTTCGCTGATATTACGGGGACGAGCAGCAACCCGCAGAATAACCACGGAAATGGACGTTCCACTTTTAAACTCGTGAGAGATCTACTTACGATCAATCGTGATATCCATTTCTCGCGAGATATATCGCTCGCAATACTCGCCGAAATATATCTTTACGTTTCCTCTTTATACCTGCTCTCCACTTAATCGCTAATCTCCGAAAATTTCCCTTCCATAATTCGTAATATTTCGAATCGGAGAAAGGGAAGGGGGAAAAAACTTGGGTTTCCTCTTAAAATCGAATGGATAAAGAAGATTTCGAATGTTCGGATATGGCGGTGATCGGGTTGTTCGGTTGAACGATATTCGAGAATCGAGCGGAGGATCTGCCAAAGTCACCGAAGAAACGCTAGACGAGCATTCCTTGCCGCAGAATGCTCACACCCACGAGAACTGCTTCTAAACCGGTAGAATCCAGTTGGTAAAGCGATTTATAATCCCCAAGTAAACTCATACAAGTGTGTTAATTATATCGATCGGTGCTGAAAACATTTTCAAAGTATCCCTGAATTCAAATCCGACGATTAAGAAACCAGTTCTCGCACCAATTCCACCATTTCTCTCTCTCTCTCTCTCTCTCTCTCTCTCTCTCTCTCTCTCTCTCTCTTCTCTCTCTCTCTCTCTCTCTCTCTCTCTCTCTCTCTCTCTCTCTCTTTCAACCAAAAGTTCTTCTTCTCTTTTTTATACCTTTTTTTCGCCCGGACGAGACAGCTCTCCGTCGTTTTAACTTTTTCGACACGAGGTTCCACGTTCCACCGAATTTACGATATTATCGATAAAACGCGATCCATTTGTCACTCGAACGTATTTTCCCCTGCGCGCATGAAAAGACGGCAAAACATCTGGATGGAAATATATTGTCTCTTCGAAATCGAGATAAAATAGATCATTGCTTCATCCTTGGCGTGTGTTAAAAGCGAAACGAGTTAATTAAATCCTTTATATTTAAAACTCACCAACCCCTCGAACGTTAACAATAATCGAATCGGAACGATCACTTTCGCCAATTAAAACGTAATTTTCTCAACTTTTTCAACCCGTAATCGTTCTCGATATAGCTATATACGAGCTACAAAAACAAAAAAAAATCCAACCAAAAAGAAAAAAAAATACAAATCGAACGTGATCCGCTCGCGTTAACGAAAACACGGATTAGAAACGTGTCGGTCCAAGAACAAGAATCATGCCCCTGCGTGGAGACTGCGTGAAATGAAAATCGACGGATCTCTGGACGGCAGCCCGCGCGGCGCGCAAACTAGACGCATGCCATCGGGAAACGCGTTCGCGGAACCTGTTAACCTCCGAGCCAGAGAGAGAGAGAGAGAGAGAGAGAGAGAGGAGGATGAGGAGTAGAGAGAGAGAGAGAGAGAGAGAGAGAGAGAGAGAGAGAAAGAATTCGTTCTGGCCGATTCCGATGGATTCCGGACGGTGTAGTCGGAATCGCGATCCAACGAAACAGAGACGTCATCTCGAGCCAATATCTCGAGCATTGAAACGACGACGTCGTCGTTGACGACAAACGTCACGTCTCCCCTCCTTCTCCCGCAGATTCTTCTTCTCTCACAGTGCGCGTATTGTACGTTATGCAGATGCACAAGAGTAAACTTACGTACTAACGTACGTACGTACGCGACGAGCAACAGTGATAATGACGATCGAGACGCGTAAACGCGACGCGACACGAAGGAACGAGCGCGCAATATCGCGAGCGCGAGTGTAATACGCACGCGTATGGATTATTCATCGTCACGAGTCGAAGCGTACGAAGATCGAACCAGCCACAGCGTTTTTTTTTTTTTTTTTTCATTTTGCCGCGAAAAGAAAATGTGTACGATCTCCGTCTCATCTTCGGATCATTTTGGAACGAGACGATCACCGAGTTTACGGATTCCGCGTACCACTCGGTCCAAACGTGATTCAAACCATCCTCGACCGTGTTGTCGACTAAGTTCGAATATATATATATATATATATGGTGTTATGTGTATATATATATATATGGTACACGTATGCGGAGAAAGAGAAAGAGAGGGAATAAAGAAACGGAATAATGACTTACTGTGCGCGGCAAAGGTCATGATGACGTCGCTCTGGTCGATGGCCCTGAGATCCTGACCGGTGAGGTCGAACTCGCCGGCCCTACGTTGCTGCTCGCCGATCGGCTTCTCGTCCTCGTCCTCGCCAAGAGCGTTCTTGTATATGTCCAAGAGAAACTTGGGCGCCGACCTCTTGACCTGCGGCGGCCTACCGGCCGTGTTCCTCGGCCGATCCGGCAATCCAAGAAGATTCAATATCTCGTGCTCGACCTCCCGTTTCTCGCGCTGGCTGACCACCCTGTGCACGATGGTCTGGTCGAAACCGTTGTCGACGTAGAGGCCGCTCATCCTGTCCGCGGCGGCGGTGCTCGTCAGCCCGGCGAGGATCGTGCCGAGGATCAGCAGGGGCGCGAGACGGCGCGGCGACATCTCGGCGCGTCTTCTTTCCGCTCGAGATCGGCACGGGCCGGAAGCCACCATTCCACCTCCCCCCGCTTCCACCACCACCTCCACCAGCACCACCTTCCCCTCCTCCTCCTCCTACGTCGGCGCTCGCACGACGACGACGTGGTCGTCGTCGTCGTCGTCCCTATCGAGCCACCAACGTGGACACCGATCGAGGCTGCGACCGACAACCGGGCCGATCGAGCCGAGGGATCGATCGATCGATCGATCGATCGCCCTTCGAGGACACCGCGCGCACTCTGTTATTATACCGTACACCGACCGTTACACCGAAACGCGCCACTCTCCCGAATACCACCGATTGTCTCTTCTACTTCTCTCCCTTGCTTCCACACCTCCTTCCCCCCTCCCCCTCCTCCCCCTCCTCCTCCTCCTCCTTCTCCTCCTCCTCCTCCTCCTCCTTCTCCTCCTTGCTCGACACGAGACGAAATCGACGGTTGATCCGAACAGGGCCGATCGATACTTTTCCTTCCCGTTTTTATATCCCGCCAAGATGAATTTATATCCGCGCACAGTGTAAGCACAGTGGCAACTAATCCCGAGGTCGATCGAACCCGATTCCACGGTGATACTCTCTCCGGTCGAGTTGGTCGGCTGGTTGGTCGGTTGGTCGGTCGGTTTTACCGCGATCGAGGATCGATTCCGAAGCACATAACCGAGCGCGCACTTTGCCCGTTTCCGCGATTCAAAGGATAGACACGGGGCGCATGTTGGCGAAACGCGGGCCGATTCTCGAGAGAGAGAGACCGTCTCGGTGACCAGCGGTGACCACTGCCGCTGACTCCCGCGATGCCAGTGCCAGTCTGTTTGTCTGGCCCGTGCCGTGCACCTCCTCGTCGTCGCTGCTCCTCCGCGAGGCCTCACCACCGCCTCCCAGGGCCGTACCGCTCCTCCGACAGAGCCACGCCTCGCTCTTCGCCTTCCTCTCTGCGTTTGCCTGTTTGGATCGGCTCGCTCGCGCCTCGCCTCGTTTCGCCTCGACTCGCCTCGCCTCGCCTCGCTTCGCTTCCACTTACCTCGCCACAGCTTTTGCCTTGCCACGCCGCTAGCCACGCGTACATACTGATCCTTTCCTCTTTTTCCGCGCCGTCCTCTTCGTTTCTTTTTCTTTCTCTCTTTTTTTCCAATTTTTCTAATTCTTTCGCCAAGTACGAACTTATTAATCGCCGTGTATCGAGTTACGTTACTTGCTCCCCTTTTTAATCGCGTTTTTTAAAGAGTATCTCCTCTCCTCTCGCCTTCCTTCTTTTCTCTCTTGTTTAAATTTCCCTTCGCGTCCTACACTTTGCGCGCTCCTTCTCTCTCTCTCTCTCTCTCTCTCTCTCTCCTTACGTGCCGTTCCCTCCATACGTGTTTTTCTTCGCTTCTTTATTCATCAAGTGTCACCGAATGCGTTTTGAAAGCGAAGTTATCGAAGATAAGTTCCATGATCGAATCGCCTCCCTCCTCCTTGGTATCTAAAGTTTCTAAAGTTTCGATCCGCAGCATCGTGCGCATCCAGCCTTTCGGAACGATGTCACTTCGTTGGAACGTGAATGGAAGGTACCAAGAAGAGGATGGTTAATAACGAACGGATGTCATTGCACCTAACATTGTCACCACCCGGTTCGAAGTAACTATTGAGTAACACAGAACGAAGGTTCGAACAGTCACGTGTTCGAACGACGAGAAAAGGGGAAAGTATTCGTGCGCTCGATCGATTTTGAAACGGACGCGTGTGCGTGTGTGCGCGCGTATCGTGATAACGTTGGATATCCGAGAGAACGCGTAGAACCGTGACTGCGACGGAGATGGTCGTGATAACGCGAGCCGCGAAAATGAAGGATAGCCGGTGAAAATGTTTCGCTCGCGATCGGATTGTTCGGCGTACGGAGCGTTGCGCGCAACGCCTTGTGTCGCACGCTCGACGCGACATTCCTGGAATGTTGCATGTAACACCAGATGTTTGCAAGGTTCCGAGGAGATTCGCGGACGCGTGTTACAATGTAACTCGTTACGTAATGCAAGGCTGGTGTCGTTCGTCCACGTAGAACGTGGACGAGGCGCAGGAATTCAATCTACATACGCACGGTATCCACAGCACACCGCCGCGCAAATTTCTGCAACCAAGTCGCCTCGCCGCGGCCACGAGGGGCATGAGACGATTGCAAATTTGATTTACTTTCACTGGGGATCGTTCGCGACCTTTTTACGCGTGCCTCGACTGCTGAAAATAAGAAACACGGGAAGGGAGAATCCGTGTTGAACGATGGAACGCAAAATAGATACCGGGCTGAGAAATAAAATCGCCGATTTCGATTCGGATTTCTCGTCTCGGATTTTGATCTTGCTCGTTCTTCCGATGAGAAAAGAAGCGTCCAGAGCGTCTATGTATTATCGTGTTTCTTTTTTTAAATTTATAATTTTTTTTTCCTCTCTCTTTTTCTTTAGAACGTGATCATTTCTTTTAGCGGTGAAAACACGTTTCATACTCGTACGAACGAGTAGTAGAAATGAGTAGATGGAAGGTTCGATGACGAGATCGAAATTGATAAATGTAAAACGTCGAACGGAACGCGTCTCGCTCAACGACGCGTCGTTTGTCTCGCCAAAAAGGACGAATCTGTTGCTTTCACCGGGCGAAATAAATTTCTTCGCGTCCAAGACTCGCAACTTTCGGAAGTGTAACGGCTACCGTTGAAAAAATAAAAATCCTTCGTTGCAACTGTTCGAACATTCGGATTTACACGGAGAAAGAGAAGAGCGGCTTCGACTCGATGTTTCCTCGACGAATTACACCTACTTTTCCTCGTAAGCTTTTACGATCGTCGTATGAGCGTAAAAATTGGGGAAGAAAACTTTCCAAACTCGTATCCGTGTGGAAAAAGGAAAAAGAGAAAAAATAATAGGAATAACGGGAGCGAAGGAAATAAAACGATTTGTCTTATAAAATAATTTCCCATCCGACCGATCCCACTGAATTTTCGAAGACATTTGCACGTCCCTGGGTCATAGAGATAGGACCGCCCCTGCCGAAGAAGTAGGCGGCGTTCACCAGCCCTGATCGTTGGTATTACTCGGCACTCTAACGTGGTGCCGGAGATCAGGGTTAGCGAAGACACGGCGTGCGATGGCGGCCGACCGAACTTCTGAACATTCTTCCACTTTTTCAACCCCCTTCGATCTTTATCGGATCGCCATTCAGACAAGTTGCGCGCTATTTCCGCCCGATAACCGCACACCAACCGCTACCTACCCAATGCGCGGCTAATGTTCTCGATCCGAGAAAACCCATCCTCCGTTTCCGGCCCGAGGAATGCGGCGGGCCTAGCATTGGAAAATCCCGCTACACGTGTAACGTGAAGCGCTCGAAAAATGTAACTCACCTCGGATAATGGACGGATATGGCAAAGAATTTGTTTACAGGCTGTTACAGGTAACAGCGGCGGGATGGTATGCAGCGGTTGACACGAAAGTTGGCCGTACGAGAAATTCCATTCGAAGACGCGCGCCTCGATGGCACGCAACCTTTACAGATATTTATTTTTGGAAACGGTGTTCCTCCGTGTATCGATTTAGATAGCGTGAAAACAAAATTTGACGACAGGTGATTTATTCATTTTTACGAAACTCCAAAGTGGATTTGTGGATTTTCGTATCTCGTGTAAATGGGACAGTCGAGTCGAAGATTGCCAATACCTTTTTCCCCCCCCCCCCCCGCGAAAAAATTGCGTTACGCATTTATACCATATTGGTTTCGATAATTTTAAAGATCGAAATTTAAATCGAGGATTAAATTTTAACACGCGAGAAAGATATATTAATATTTATTACGAACGTGAAACTTAACATTTTTAATTATGTAAATAAGTGACAAGTAAATAAATAATCTGTTCGTCATCGTACGATGATGTATTTCTATATAAAATATACGACATATTTCGTTATAACAAAATACATCACGTTTACGAATTATACGACTATCGTAAATCATTACGAAAGGATTCCAATAATACGTAGCTCGTAACTATAACCATTAAACGCTATCGACAATTTCACCAAAGTTATAACTCATAAATATTCATCAAAAATAAAAGGACATTTGGATTTGAATTAAAAAGAAACGAAAAACTGGAAAGAACTTTTTTTTCCCTGGATATACTTTTATTTAAATTATTATGCAAATTAATAAACTTGTATGTTTATTTTGTCAAATAAATTCGGACGATCGGAAAATCAATGTCGCGAATATCATGTTTTCATAGGGAATTTTTTAATAGAACTAAACGAAAGAAAAAAAAAAAGTCGCGTGTCATATTTATACGCAATCGACCATAAACGTAGAAGGGATCGGGGTGGGCGGATGACGGTGAAAGCGAATCTGAGTCGGTAGTATCATTAATCTGCCAATAAAGTCAACGTAAGTCTTACAATATCCAGTTTGTTGTAAGAAATATTTGTTTACTCGACACAATTTCTTCTCTCTCGTAGATATTCGCGAACCGATAAAGCGAAATTAAAAAAAGAAAATCCGATTTCTCTGCATCTAAAAAATGCTATTCGATTATCTATAACATTTTCATATTATGTTTCTTATTATAATTCTTATTATTATAATTAGATGGTTTCGGTAATGAATGCGCGAATAAAACTTCCAGATATTTTTAAACGTGGTATTAAGAAATTATACATTTTTTATGTATTTCGAAATTATGAACAATTGGATCTCTTGCATCTTTTGAAAGATCATGATACCGATATCGAATGAATATCTTGATATTTCTTCGATTATTTATTGAAAATACATGGTAAATAAATATGATTATTCGGATCGAATTAATATTATCAATTATCAAATATAATACAACATAATAACTCTATTTTAACAGCGACGACACTAAAATTCTACTTGGTCGCGCAAACAACTCCGGCCGGTTGCATGTGACAGGCATTAAGCACATACCAATGTTCTTCTTACAGGTGTCGGGCACACGCATACCATCCGCTTATTCCGCAATGTTCGGATCTCAATTCCACGGAGATAATCCTGAAAGCATGTTTGAAGAGGAGGATGGGGATTCCATTATCGATGCATGTCGGCTCACCCAATAAAATGTTAGTAGCTTACAGCCCTGGCTCGTCATTCTGCACGTCCATGGATGGAACTCTTGGAGAAAAGCAAGAGATGCTGCAGTTTACTCTCTCTCTCTCGCTCGCCATACTTCTCTCTTTTTCTATCTCTCTCTCGCTCTCTTTCGTCCAACACTCTTTCTCGACTGACCAACAGCAACGGAATAAATAAAGTAAATAGAGGAATATAGGAGGTAAATAAAAAATGTGGCAGCAGAGGAGAGAGAGAGGAGTGTACAAGAGGAAGGGAGGGAGGTAAGAAGAAAAAGAGAGTTAAAGGGAAAGAGGGAGAGGAAAGGAGTGAAAGGGAGAGGGAGAGGAAGGGAGAGTGCCTTCAGGGCGAATTCCCGTCGAGCATCGGCCGCTGCAGAATCCAGAGGTGCGTTCACCGGGGAAATCCCTCCCTCGGAGATTATCCTCTTGAAGAAAACTCGACAACTCTGCATTTTTAGCGCACCGTGTTCGACCGTGTGTCTACCAATTTACCATTGCATTTTCTCGAGCATATATCTTTCTCCTTTCGTTTCATTTTTAGATTTGCATCAAGAAAATTTAACGATAATTTGAATTTTTGAACATCGCGAAAAATAAATGAGATCAGATTATGATTTAAACTTTGTTAATCGATTTTAAATATGAAAATATGAGAAATAATTGTTTTCGCATTTGAAAAATTTGAATATTATCGTTGTTACAATTGGTTAAAGCGAACAAGCGATTGTTATATAATTTCATTCAAATTATTTATTTTATCGATCGTGATCAAGTTATAAAACTAGTCGTCATACACTAATTTTATTGTTTTAGAGAGTTCAAGAAAGATGAGTAACGATCTACGATCTAATTATCGTGAAAATAAATCTTCTCAAAGTTTATATTATTACACGTAACGACACGCATTACTTGGATGAAACTTCTCGAATAAAATATCAATTATAGTCACATTAACACAATGGAAATTGTAAAATACCACAAGGATCGCGATTAGTCAGATCCGAAAAATGGTATTTAAGCGGCACCTCTCCTAATTTGAAGGTTCGAGAAGAAGCCGAAGAGGATGAAATTGGCGATGACGAATTCAACCGCACGGAGAACCGATCGGTCGTACCGTAACGTACGACATATCTCTTCCCAGAAATCATCTTGAAGCGATCTACCAGTGAACGGTCGTCTCTCTTTCTCTGTCTCTCTACCGGTTGAGTCGAGCCGGTCCCTCGTGTGTCCCTGTTGCGTTAGTTGGCCAGGTCGGTGCCAGGGAGTCTACCGGCGATAACCAGCTGCGCGTCGTACCGGTAGACTGCCTGCTGCCTCCGGCTGCTCCGGGGACCCTGGGACCGGTTATACTTGACCCAGCGGTTTACACGCGCTTGCTGCCGTCAGCACCACCACCGCCGAGGCCGGATCGCACCGCTACCGAAACACGTACCTACATTGCCTGGACAAACTTCCAGTATACTCGGCTAGCTTGTTCCTTTTCTCTCCCTCTATTCTACCTCTTTCTTTCTCTTTCTCTCTTTCTTCCTTTTTCCCCCCTCACACAATCAACGATCTCTGTCAGACCAATACATTCTACCTTGATTCACCTTACCCCACTCTAGCTCACCCTGCTCCTCTCCCTTTACTCTCTCACTCCAATTATTTGTACGCTTATTTTTATATATATAAGAATTTAACGATTTCTTTGCGAATTTGTTAGAGTGGAACCTCCTCGAGATAGATTGAGTGCATAAAAGAAAAATTGCGGACAATAAAATTTCCTGAATCTTGTTGAATTGAATAAAATATCGATAAAATCTTGATAACGCCTTCTATTTTTAGATTCAAACCGTACGATGGCTATTAATTGTTCGTATTTTAATTCAGTAAATTTTGTGAATATAACGTGTCGTTAATGAACACACACATATACATATATACGTGTGTACATAAAATTGGATATATGCAATTTAATAATATGCTTATGAAGTTAGCCATTCGTAATCCATTTTTAAATTTTTAAGAATAATTTCTTACACTATTTGTAAGCATAACATAAGATACTTACATATTAACATACGAATATTAACTTAAAACTATATACAAACAAATAATATATACTTTTTATATAGTTCATTCACTTAACATATTTTTCCATAAATTTACGATGAAATTCACTTCTTAATGAATCGTTTATGAATACATCATGTTTCTTTTTTGGTTCGGAACGAGCACAATTTTTGAATACAACGTCATCGTCCCATCGTCGTCTGACTTTCATATCTGTTCTTCCACTCTGAGAAGAATAACTTAGTAAAGGATTTCCAGAAAGAATATTTTCCATTCTTATTCTTTCCTCTTCCTGTCGTTTCTCCATTTCCTGCAAAATAAAAAATATGAAATGAAATAAAAATATTAATTACATACATAAAATTGAATTTAATTGAATAAATAAAATATAACAAACATAAAAAAACAAATAAACATATAACAAACATAAACATTTTACCTTTTTAGCTTGTTCCGCAGCCCTTTCTTTTTTAATACGTTGTAATTCTGCTAATAATGCAGCAGTATCATCTTCATCGCTTTCTGACTCTGAATCATCATCATCAAGAGGATCATCTGCATCTAAACTTGCTGTAGGTACTTGATCAATTTTCTGTCTTTTAGCACTCGTTGTAGAAGTTTCTCGAGGTGGTTCTATCATACGACGGTTAGAACTTTTCTCCTTTTCTCTTTCACGTTCACGTTCTTCTAATTCTTTACGAAAATCTCGATTTCGCAATTCCTCTATTGTTCCTTGTCCATGTTCTCTGTAAATGAAATTCATTAATGTTGTAAATGAATGAGGTTAGGTTTGATTTAGATTTGAAATGATTATTCATTTCAAAAAGTTATAAAAAATTGTTCAAAACAAAAATAAAAATAAATACATATCACTCAAAAATAAAAAAAAATAACATAGTACCGGTATTTTAATTTCGTGTGTGATGGTAAATCTCTGCTGCTATATTGTTTTGATATTGCACTTAAATCTTTTTCACCACGTCCTTGTCCTCCTCTAGCAGGTTCGAACGTAGGTCTTGCAGCCGTTGTCATTTTATTTATAAAATATTGAATATCTATTAATACAAAACTAGATTAAGTTTTCTTTTTAATATAATACTTGTTTGTTCGTTTTCAAAACAGCTGATCGCCAATAAGTCTAAAAAATATCGAATATTATCGACTATCTTTATTTCGCGTATGATATCGTAAATTATATATTCTCACTAGAGGTCGTCGATGTAAACCATAAATCGATATGCCATTCGATTTTAAAAATCGTATATGAAATTTAAAACCAGTTTCGGATAAGAAGCTATCAGGGAAAAATATTCTGCAATTATTATTATATTACAAATGATACGAATAATTATTTTTATAAATTCTAAAATCTACATTATAATTTATTAATGTAATTTATCAATTTTAACTTATTTTAATAATAAAAAAGAAATCATATTGTTTTTCTCATTATTTATTATTTTTAATCACAATGAATCAATAAACATAGTATTTTTTATAACAATATACTAATAGTTATCACATCATTAATCCATAATAAATAATATTTTATCAGAATAATTTAAATATGAAATAAACTAGTATATGTAAACTTATTGTCATATTAATTTATTTAATTTAATAAACAAATCAAATTTTGTTATTTTCGCAACATTAAGATTCAATAAAACATATAAAGTCATTTGATATAATTTTTAAAATATATATATATATATAAAATAGATAAAAACAAAATTCAAAAAGCAATTTTCTATTATATAGTATTAGTGCTTAATTTAATTTTTTATCTGTTAAACTTATGATTACATTGTATTACTTACAGTTGCAACATTTATTTCATGCGCCATATTCATTTTTATTATTGAATACTTATGAACTTTTTCTTTTCTTATACGTTTACATGTTTTTTTTCTTTTTATAAAAGTTCATATCATTAATCACGTATTTTGTGCAATATATTATAAACTATGATCAGGCTTATATTTAAGTTGTTATTAAAATCATTTTTTTTAACATATTGGACAGCATTCTGACTTTCATTTATTCAAATTTTTGCAACTAAAGAGGCACTATATCTCAAAACATATCTTCAAATTTCATATAATAAACTTGAAATAATTCTGTCATTATCATATATTCGTTTATGCAATAATCAAAAACTAAATATTACATTATATATATATATATATATATATATATATATATATATATAGTCAGTATATATAATCTAACCAAATAAAACACATACACATATATATGTATATATACATGCATATAATATATAAAATAAAGCAATATAACTAAATTTTCACAAATCAATTTTAAAAAATATTTATAACAGTTTTAGGATTTGTAATACATAATTAGTTTGAAATATATTATAATAATTAATATATTTGATCTTTTAATTACTAATAATTATAATTTGAACATATATGTATACTTGATTAAAAATTTTAATGAATTTTATAATGTTATTGCTTCATTTATTTATATAAAGAATTTTTTAAAATTTGCACTTGAAAAAAGAATAAATTTCTTTAAAAATTAATCTAATTTAAATTTCTACTATGAAAAATCAAGATGTTATCATATATACGAAATATAATTACATCTTAAACATAGTTATTTTTTAAGAAAAGTAAATATAAACAATTTATAGTTTACTAAGTATAATTATTTCTATTTCTAGTAGTATCTATTATATCAGTTGAGACAAATAACAACATGTATTTCCAAATATTCAGATCTGTGCAATACTAATTTATACTATAACTAATCACTAAGTGCAGTCTGAATAAAAGAAATAATATGTCATGGCACACAAGTTTTACAACAGTCGAATATTTCATAGTTTCATAGTTTTATTTTATAACTAAATTTTATTATAAGCCTAATATTTTGTAATTTACATATTGAAATATATAATTTCTCACTTAGCCTTTTTTTTTTATAATATGAGAACTGTACATCCATTTTGCAAATTCTCAAATTAATAATAAAATATATAATAAAATTGTAATTTTGTCAATAAAATATTAATATTAAAAATCACATAATTAAATATTTAATAATGAATAAAATATAAAAATTATTAATACATTATTATATATTATATAATTGCACTAAATTTTAAAATGAATCATTTTTTTGTAATTATATATTTGTGCGTTTATTATATATACTATTTTTTATTTGCAGTGTTATATAAGCAGTTTTGTACTACCAAAATTGCAAATGTATAAAGCATATAAAAAAATGTGTATTCAATAAAACAATTTTTGCACATATGAGATAAATTCTAAAACATAATATTTTATATATACTAATTACAATTACATATACAATACAAATTGATTACATACAATAATATATAAATTTTGCAAAAATTTTTTCGAATAATATCTATAACAAAATTAACATCGGTATTGCTTTATACATATAATTCAAATGAAATTTTATTAAATAAAATTTCATTAAATAAAAAATAAAATCTGTATAAAACAAAATTTTTACTACTACTAATATGATATTTTGTATATAATAAAAATAATAAGCTATTCAATTTTACGAAATATTAAATATTTAATTCTATATTTTATGTATGTTGTAAAAATTCAAATATTTGTGTTCTTATTTACATTTTTAAAAAAAATTATATCAAGTTAATATGTAAATATGATAAAATATTACTCCCTGTTAGAAATTTATCACAAGAAAATTATATAAAGAAGATATGCGTACAATATAAAACAAAAATTTGTTTAATTATTAAAAATACTTTCTTGTTAAGTACATAGTCCATAAAATTTTATTAATTAAAATGAGGAATAAATATAAATATTTCACATGCATTTAAATAATCTTATTATATAAAACCTTGTTTTTTATTTTTAATTTAATTTTTTATAAGACATAATTTATAAATTTATAAAAAAAAATTATATAAAAGTTTAAATATTAAAATTTGTTCACATTTGTGATATATGCATATGCGCATGTGTAATACATTATATTATAACCTCCTCCTTCAATTAATAATAATTGAATAAATATAGAATTGCTAGCTCCATCTTCTTTACATAATACATATATATATATATATATATAGAATAAATTATACAAATATATATATATATATATATATATATATATATAGAATAAATTATACAAATATATACAAATTAAGCTCTACACATTTAACATATTTTAATATACAAATCATCGAATTCTTACGAAATATGTACATATACAGAATGCTATTAAATACTCATAGAATATCTTTGAAAAATCGATTCTAGACAAATAATCGATTACCAGGATAAATATAAAACTTGATTTTTAAAAATATTGATTGGAGTTTATTTTTCAAATGATTTATATACGATTTAAAATTGATTAATTGAATCATATCGAATCATATTATATTATATCATATTAAATTTTTATATCAACTTTCATATTTTTTTAGTATTTAGAATCTATTCTCTAAAGATTCCATATATTTAATAATACTCTGTACATGTATAAATGCCCCTTTAGGTGCTTGACACCAAAATATACTACATTTAACTAGATTTAAATGTATAATAATAAGTATATATGTATATATATATATATAATATTCTTAATTGTATATCAATATAGATTATTATAAATCTTGCAACTAGGAAAATTTTAATATATATATCTTTCATAGAAATAAAATATCTAAATAGTATTTTTTTGCATCTTATTATTTCTGTCTATATATAAAATTTCAATTGACACAATTATTTAAAAAAGACAGAATATGTATTAAATATACGAAAATGGCAGTGAATTAATTCTAAGAAATAGGCCATGAATAATATTTTTACATTAATTAAAGAGAGCAATGTATGTCATTTTAAAATGTTTTTTAAATTAAATATTTTTAATAATATTTTAGAGTAATATTTTTATATTCTTTTATTCTATTAAAAAAAATAGAAAAATCTTAGTTATTTCTTATTTATAATTTAAAAAAAAAATAAAATTAATAGTATATCATGATATATTAGCAGTGTATAAAAAAAAATAAATTTAATTATAAGAAATTTGAGTAAATATATAATAATAATCTTACTTACGATTGTAATGACATTCATTTATTCATTATTTATAATGAAATTGCTTTTGTATGCAAATTAATCATGGGTTAATGTGACCCAATTTGTACCATTCACTTATATAAAAAAATGCATAAAAAATAAAGCTAATTTAATTACAGATGATTTCATTTTAATAGTTTTTTATTTTAAGTTGTATGATTATTAGCACCACTGATAGCACTAAATAAAGCAGCGCTATTACGTTTAAAATTTCCAATTTGTTCATCAGGCCAAATAGGTTCTCCAAGTAATGAAGATAAATTTTGACAAAGTTTTTGATAATTTTCACGTAATACTTCTTGATATTCATGTTGATCAGATGTAATTAGTTTGCTATTTATTTGAAGAGCTGTATAACATATTTTAACAAATTCTCTGGAAAAATTGCGAAAATAATACGAATTTATAATTTAATAATCAAAAATCAATATGGGATATTTAAAGAAATAATTTCATATATATGTATATTTCATAAGATTTTTTAAAAAATATACCTGAAGATATCTTTTAATTCTTCAACTTTATCATCTGGATATTGTGGAGATAGAGCAGGATCTAAAAATGCAGAAGCATATGCAAGTGGTCCAGCATTCACAGTAACGCATATACTTCCTTGTAATCTTAATTGTAATTTTTTTACATCTGTTGGACCTATAAGAGCTACATCTTCTAATTCTTGGACACGTTGTCGCATTTCATCTAAAGCAACTTCAATTGGACTCAGTTCCATTATTCGTTTTTCAACTACTAAAATACGTTTTTTAATATATGGGAAAGAATATTGTGCTAAAATCATACAATATAAATTAAAGTATATATTTATAAATAAAACCATAAATAAAATTGAGATAAACTTACTTGTAAGAATTGTTCTACGTTTCCATTGCTCTTCTGGACTACCTCTTGGTTTTCCTTCTTTAGTAAATGGAGTTTCAAACATAAAACATAATACATTATGATTTTGTTCAAATTCTGTTTGCCGTATTTCTAATTCATATTTTTCAAAATAAGGTGTGACATGCGTCACTTGAATATACGCTATTTTTGAATCTA